CTTCTGAAAGTGACAAGAACTTGAAGTACTTGTTGCAATAGATGAAGGAATACAGCCTTTGGTATGGATTGCATTTCAGTGTCAGGAAGACAGATTTTTACCACTGGACTAATTGGCAACCTCCTGATGAATGGAGAGGAGATTGAAACTGTCAACAGCTTCATCTTGCTTCGATCCAAAATTATAACACCTTTGGTACCGGCAGTCAGGAAGTAAGGAAATAGATGCACGCACTGGGAAAATCTGTAGTTAGGGATATCTCCAAATTACTGAGGAGTAATGATGTCAATTAGAGGACTAAAATGCGTCTGATTCAGACCAAAGTCTTTCCAATCACTTGCTATACCTCTGAGAGCTGGACAGTGAATAAGGGTAACAGAAAAAGTATTGATGCTTTTGAGCTGTGGTTTTGGAGAAGAGCACAGAACATCCCATGGACGGCCAAGAGAACAAATAGATATGTCTTGGGGTGGGTGCAGCAGGAGTGCTCTTTGGAGGCAAGAATGCTGAGGCTTCGCCGCACAGTTCATTGGAGAGGAACATGATGCTGGGAAGTGTGGAGGGTTGGTGAAGGAGAGGAAGACCCTCAACCCGGTGGAGTGATACGGTGATTGCATCAATGGGCTCTTTGTGTCAGGAGCTGTGATGATGGCCGTAGGGTTGTTATGAGTTGTATTTGATGCTACAGCACCTAACAACAATAGCATATGACTGTTTATCCCTTGATAGCTTAGTTTTGTGGAGAATGTTACTGTCAGGTTCTACTGTTTCCAGTGCAGTAGTCCCTCTTAAAAAAGGAAATACTTAACTGCAGGTCCACCGTGAAATGAGTCACTTAGATTGCTTCTGCAGTGACATTGGGTTGGCTCTAAGTCGCATTGTAATAAGAATGGAGCCCCTCTTCTAGCGTAAAGTTACCACCATAAGATGATCATCTTTTAGAAAATCAGTGTGTCGGAACAAAGTCTACAGTGTCCTGGTGGTACTGGGATTAAACACTTGGTCACCAACCAGTCACTTTGCAGAGAAGGATGACTGTCCTAGTTCTAAGAGTCACAGCCTGAGAAGCCTTGGTAAGGCAGTTCTGTAGAGGGTGGCTGGGAGTCAGGGTCACATGGACACACCAATGAGGTTTTGATTTTTAAAAACAAGATCTACTTGTGAGCTCTGTTGTTTATTGGAGTGGTGAGATCTTTTTAATGAGAAAGCTGCCTGGCTGAAAAGTCTCTCATTTTGTGGAGTTTTGTTTTAACTGTTAGAGCTACATCAGAACTACACTGAAACCTAACGGAGTGCAAGCTTGTGTAACAGCGGGAGCCTGCGTAACATGGAAACTTGTCAGAGAAGGAAAACACAAGTATTTCCTCCCAAAACAAGCAGTAAAAAATGGTTAGATCCTATCTAGAAAAGTGGTTAGACCCAATCTAAAAAGTGGTTAGACCCTATTGAAGCGGAAAACTTGGGAGAGTCAGAACAAGAAGGCAGTTTCCAATTCCCCAGTTTCACTGTATTAGATTAGGGACTTTAAGGTTCTGTTAAGGAGCTCTGGTGGTACAGTGCTTAAAACATTTTGACTTCTAGGCATAAGATTGGTAATGTGAACCCACCATTCACTCCATGGGAGAAAGATGTAGCAGTCTGCTGCTTCCTAAAAGATTTGTGGCTTTGAAACTCTGTGAGGCAGTTCTACTCTATATCACACGGTTGCTGTGACTCAGGATTGACTCAGTGGCAGTGGGTTTGGTTTGATTTTTGAATGTTACAATTCATTTATAAGAACTAAGGCTATTCTAGATTAATTAAAATGAATAGTAATTATGTAAATGACTTACTTTTACTATATTTTCATTTGATCTCTTTAGAGATCAAATCTTCATTTCTTTTGTAGTATATAATATGCTAACCATAAAAGTATTTTCTAGTTTCATTTTTAAAGTTCCTGCTTTTAAATAAGTAAAAGATTTCTCATTCTATTGTACCTTCAAATGAAAACGTCATTCTTTATTATTCAGCTAGTGGGTTTCTTGCAATCAGCAAGCTTTTTTTTTTTTTTTTTGTGCAAGGCTAATCTATCTGAATTATGGTTCAGGGTTTTAAAGCTCTGCTTGTAATTCTCTAGAGTAATTTCTAAACATCTACTCCAAAATCACATCATAGTGTGAATTATGTTCTTGTTGTGTGCCGTCAAGTGGGAACTGGCTGATAGCTGACCCTCCAGCAGGTTTTCAGAGGCAGTAAATCGCATGAGAGGAGATTGTCCATTCTTCTCCTGTGGAGCAGCGGCTATATTCGAACCATGTACCTTCTGATTTGTACCAGAGCTCCACAGTTTGAACAGTAAAGTGCTCACCTTGTTCTGGAAAGATCAGATTCTTTTAAAATGTACTCTAAATTCAGGTTGTTTGACTCTTCAAGGAAATGCATAGAAATTACTGGAATCAGGTTGAATTTGAGGGAATAAGGGAACTCTTTCCAAATTGGACTTAGTAAGACCCAACACTTTATAGTGGAGGTGACATTTTAGCTGCAGTTGAAGATTTTTATAGCCTTTCAACAGACAAGATGTTGCTCCTCTTTTTATGGCACAGCATGTGAGTGGTTGGTTGCTAAAGGAAAGGTTGACAGTTCTAACCCATCAGTGGTACTGTGGGAGAAAAGACTTAATGATTTGCCCCTATGAAGCTTTCAGCCTAGAGCCTTTATGAGGCAATTGTACTGTGTTCTTTCTGGTTACCGTGAGCCTGCATTGACCGCAGTGTTCAACAACAGCATTGGCATTCCTTCTCTGTGGGAAAACAAAGCTGGCAATTCAGTAGTATATGACCTGTTTTGGTGTCCGAGTAAAATGAATTGAAAATCAAAGCAGACCCCTTGCAAAGGAAGTCAAAGGCTCCAGCGTAGCATCACAGTCTGCACTTAACTCCTGGCTTAAAGGCTGTTGGTTCTGACCCACCCCGTGGTGCTGGGGAATAAAGGGCTGGTGATCTGTTTCCCTAAAGACTGCAGCCTAGAAAACTCCATGGGACAGTTCTTCTCTTCAGCACTCTGGGTGCAGTGTTAGGAATGGATTGTTCTGCTGGCTTTATTAAAAAGGAAGTGAAACTATATTGTCAACCTTGAGGAGTCTGAACGTTTAGAACTTGCCTTTGGATGTGTGACTGAAGAATGGGGGCCCTGAGGATTAAGACCTGGCTTCTACCTTGGATGGTCGGAGCCTGGAAGGACCATGAAGTCCTAGAAAGTGGTAGATGACTAGAAGATCAGGTGTGGGGTGGCAGTGTGTGGTGGGAAGAAGAGCATAGGCTTTCAGTAATAGTTACGAGCTGCTTTGTGATACTGATCAGGGTTAGAGAACTGGGTTCAAATTAATTGAGGGTTGCTTACAACAGTATTCACTTTCTAGTATGTTCTCCTTGTTTCCAGCAGTATTTTAATCTGTTATGTTGTTCTTATCATTTGTGGTCAAAATTTATATCTTGGTTTGTGTTCTCAGGAATACTTAGGGCATGTGGTGGTGGAAAAAGAAATTTGATAAGGCCTTCGGTTATCTTGAAGTCTGAGGTAGCAGAATAGGTTGCTTTTGTGAGAAGGAGGGATGAATCGATTTGACTTCCCACAGAGGAGGTCCCTTTGCTGTTACAGGATGATCTTTTCTTGTTTGGTGTCCCTGCTTTTCACCTTTGTCTCCCTGTTCACTTACGTTCTTTGTCTTATGGTCAGTTGATAGAAGATGAGGTTTACACAATATGCTGGCTTCTTTGAATAAGAAATGTTCCAGAATCCTCACAATTCTCTTCTGCTGGTCTTTAACACCTATTTCAACTTTATTCTAGCATATAATCTGTAATTGTAATACAGTTTTTATAATATTTATTATGAGAAAGAAATTATTCTTAAGATGCTACTTCCTCTAAGCTGACAAAATTTAGGTTCAAATGAATTAAAACACATTTATAAATGTTTGCCCTTTTCTTGTTCTAGTAGTTATATTTGGGAGCATTTAGATATTGCTAGAATTCAGCAGTTTTCCTTTTTTATGGTATATGTCTTCAGCTCTTATCATAGTAACCTAAATTATGTGAATGCCAAGTATCCACGTATATATGTATATATGTGTCTATCTGTCTGTCTGTATATCTATCTGTCTATCTATATTTAACAAGGGTTAGTGAGCTCTGGTAGCATCGCTTGCAGGGAGTTGTGCTGCTCACCCAGAGACCATGCCTTTGGTGGTTCAACTCTGTCAGCAGCTCTGTGAGGGAAAGATAAATAATCTCCTCACCTGGAATTTACATCCTCCAAAAATCCTTTGACAGGTCAGCTATGAGTTGGTTCAGACTCAGTGGCCTTGAATTTGGAGTTTAGTTTTATTGGCTCAGAGGAGTTCATTGTTGCTTTTTTATTAATGATGGTGTTGCATGTTTAATACTTAGAATAAAGTAGCAGTTCAAAATTCAGTTTGAAATTGAAAAAGTTTGTACGTAAGATTGAAGATACTATAGTATGCATGTTGTACTCTGCATCCAGGTAGTGTTAGGGTGTAGCCAGTACTGCAGGCTAAGTGTCCAGTGTCCAGTGATTGGAGAATTTATGGTCACATCTGTTACAGGCATGGCATTGTGACTAGTGAATTGCTACAGTTGTTGTTGACTGCCATTGAATCGAGCACAACTGATAGAGACCCTATGAACAGAAGACCTGAACACCTGAAAACAATATAACTATTGTTGTTTCTCAAAGTTCATGGAGTTTCCAGGGACATGTTTAGGAAGTGGGTGCCACTACAGTAGACGACACATTATCCCTTTTATAGGAAATGTGAAAAGTTCCTGTAAAGCTTTAAAATGGCTTTAAAATTGTTGACCTACATAAAATATTAATACGGTAAAAATTGGAGACATAAAGAAAGGTGTGAAGAAAAAGGCATACAGTAGAGATCTAGGATAAATAGGACTGTCTTTTGCACAGTGAACCTTACCTTTATTTGTTTGCTTTTCTAGTCCAAGTGGTAAGAAGTTCAGAAGCAAACCTCAGTTGGCAAGGTACCTGGGAAATACTGTTGATCTCAGCAGTTTCGACTTCAGAACTGGAAAGATGATGCCCAGTAAATTACAGAAGAACAAGCAGAGACTCCGGAATGATCCTCTCAATCAAAATAAGGTCGGTGTATTAAGTGCAGTCTAGGCATGCTGTCTCAGAAGTGCTCCAAAATACCTTACATGTAATTATGAGAGCAGATTTTTTTTTCCCCTTTTGGCTTGCACTGGACCTGTGGTTGCCTAAAGAGCCTTTTCTTTTCTTCTTCTTTTTTTTTTAAATACTCCCACCTACAAAGGATTTTGATTTTTAAATCTGGTTTAGAGTCTTACAGTTGACAGTATTTATATAAATGTGAACATTAGTGAATTGTGCATACCTCACTCGTTTGGTCAGTTGGAAGTTCTGTTTGCAAAAGATTTCTTTTTTGATTAATTGCCCTCATTTATATTTCTCTCTACTCTCCCAATAGTCTCCCTTGTCTCCAAAAAGAGGCAGAATTTGAAGTTCAGCAAGTATTCTTACACATAGTTTATGTCGCTGTTGTTTGGTACTGTTGACTTGGTGTATCGTGAGCCTGTGAACAGCAGAATGGCACGTGGCCTTGTCGCCTTTCCTCACAGGGGCTACTGTGGGGGAGCCTATTGTTGCAGCCACTGTGTCCATCTCAGTGAGGCTCTTCCTTACTCAGGATTTGAGGTTCAGGATTTGAGAAAGAAAACTTATTATTTTGAACTTTTGATGACATTAAATAGTGTTCTTATCCTAAAACTTTGGAGACTTTTCTGTTAGTTCTAAAATTTTTTTTTAAAAACCCTTTCTATTGAGCCTATTTAGTTCCTAGTTTTAAGTTCTCAGAATCGAAGCACATAACATTCGGAATTGTATTACTTCGATCGTATTGAAGCACTCGGGTATCTTTAGAAAAAGAACTTCCTCTCTCTACCTGTTGGCCACCCTCTGCCTTCCCCCATGCTCTCCAAGGACATGATCTTAACCATGTTTCCTCAGATTTTGCTTCCTCTGTGTTTCAGGACTTTGTGCATATTTGTTGCTACCACCGTTGTCTCCCACTGACTGAGGACAGTGGAAGAAGTAGGCACTTTTCTTTTCTTAGGAGATGACTGGTAGAACCCGGATTTGCCCTTTAGAACGTTCACATTCGCTGTAGTAGCCAGGGCAGTGCCTAGAGTGGAAAGGGTGTTAGGCTCAGGCACATGTGATTGGCTGTATTGGCTCTGCCCTACTAGCAGGTGCGATCTGAGGTGAGTTTCTTAACCTCTGAGGACCTTGAGTTTCTCACTGGTCAGATAAAGGTAAAAAAAAGTGTTCCCTTAGTATATTGTGGAGACTAAACGGGAATTTGTATAAAAGCATCTAGCATAGTACTGGACACAGGGTATCCCCTTCCCTCTCCTGTGGTCCCTTGCACGTGCTTTCCCCTTCCCAGATACCAAACTACCTTGGTGAACAGTGTCAGGAAGCAAATTTTCTGACCAAAGTGCTCTTGCTTCTTAACTCTTTCCTGTTCTAGAAAAGTATAAAGCCTCTGCTTCATACCTTTCTTTACTCAGACTGCAGTGTAAGAAATGATTCCACTGATTTAGAAATGGTTCTCTCTGAGAGGTCAGGGCTAGACAGGGTCAGGTTCAGAGCAATTAGGGCTGCATACACTCATGTAGCTAAAGTGCCCAGTACTAATTGTTTGACTGTTGCAAGTTTTAACTTCCAAAAAATGGGTGTGAAGTTAGAATGTGTTCTTTTCTGCACTGTTTCTTTCCATGGGAGCCTCAGCATGTACCTTGCCTAGATAGACAGAAAGGGTGGGAAGGCTGAAACTGCTTCAGTGCTTACATATGGGCTTAGTTTCAGTTGATTTTATTAAGATGTTAAGAAAGAGTAGAAATAGGGATAGGATCAGAAAAGAAAAGATAGTTTAAAGAAAGCTAGTTTAAGTGTACTTGTCAAATGTACAGAGGAAAATGATGGTTTAATGTGAGGCTACTTTTTAAAAACATGATCATTTTCTCTACATGGCTAGGCGTCTAGAAAAGGGCCCCAGATATTTATGAAGTGAATTGAAGGTAATACTTGCAAATTGTATGGTAACAGGTTAATGGGCTACATTATATGTGTGATGTGAAAATGTACCTTCTCACAGTTACAATTCATTAAACCAAAACAAAAGCCAAAAAAACTAATGAATCTCTTGAGTTTGTGTGCACCTCTCTGCTTCAGCTGCGCTGGACTGCTCTCCGCCTGCACCATGGCATGCACTGTCCGGGTTCTGCTTGCTCATGTGCTGTCTCCTCTGCTTGGAATGCGCTTCCCCTTCCCTTCTGCCTGGTGAACTCCTCATGCAAGGCCCAGCTCCCTTGTCTCCACTCTGTGAAGCCGGCCCTGCACGCTCCAGGCAGCAGCCCTGCCTCACCCCTAACGCTTCCCTGGCTCTTTGCCATCGCTCTTGTCTGCTTCGACTAGAGTGTGAGCTCCACGAGGGCAGGGACCTTGTCTTTTTTTGTCTGTGGATCAATGCTTGCTCTGTGTGTGTTTGACTCATTGTCCACCTCATCTCAGATGTTTATAGTGGTCATAAATGTTTATTGAATGAATAAAGTAATATATATTACTTTGGGCTTGTTTCTATTTTCATTGTATTCTTTTTTTGAGGGATGGAGATTTCTATTTTAATTTGGGGGCCGATAGTCTTAATTTTAGGTCTAATTTTACTTTAGTTAAATAGTGAGGAAAAATAGTTTTGCATTTAAAAAAAAAACCCAACACAACAAATTCCTTCAGATGACACCAATATTAAGTACTTCTCAACCAGAAAACATATCTGTATCTAATTCAGTAATGATTGTTTCTGTTTTATTTATAGCAGCACTGTATAAAGACAGTTTTAGTGACCAAAAGAGATGTGTTTCGAGATAGTGTATAAACCTGGCTGAAGTATTACACTATTGAGCTTAAGAATTTTTTTAAAACTCTTAGAAGAAATAGAGATGTACAAATAAATGTTGAAATAGGCTTAATTTTTGCTTATAAGGTGTTTATGGTTTTTTCTTTTGTAGGATGGGTGAGTCAGGTAGAGTGGGTATTATTGCCTTTGATGTCTGCTGTTGCTTTGCAAAGACCTATTCTTGCTTATCTCAGATTCAGTCTTAACTTTCCCCTGAAAATCCTTCCCATCTTTGATTATATTGAGCCTGGTTATTGTTCTTGGCACTGCCATAATAATTTCCAACCACCACTCCCTCTGTCAGACAAAGGAGACTAGTGTCAGGATGCCAAGTATGTTACTGAAAAGATTCTAGCAGGCTAATAAGAAAAGATTAGAGAAAGATTTGGGGATCATCAAAGTAGAATTGATACGTTGTCATGAGGTGCTTTCTTCAGGTTTGCTCAAAGGGAGATTTCACTATTTTAGTCACATGTAACGGTACTTGAAATGTGGCTAATGTGACCAGATTTGTAGTTTTATCTAAACAGCTGCATGTGCCCTTGCTGTTAAGTACCATTAAGTTGGAACTGACTTGTAGTTGACCCCTCCAGCGGATTTTCAGAGGGAGTAAGTTGCTTGAGAGATTTTTCATCCTTCTGTGGTGCAGCTGGTTGTTTTGAAGCACATGCCTTCTGATTTGCAATGCAGCTTCTTACCACTAGGCCACCAGAGCTCCCGTACATATGCCTAGTGACTGAATCACAGCCTGACCTCAACATGTAAGTGAGACAGACACAACTTTGGCTTCTGAAATGAGAAAGGCTGTCTTCAAACTTGTAAATAGAGACTTGATCTGTTCTACATATCTGGAATGTTTTTGAACTATACAAAATATGTTATTTAGGCATTTATTTGGGTTTTGATACTTTATAGAGGAAATACAAAGTTTCAGAAATATGCTGTTCAGTATTTTAAGATGGAAACGGAGAAGAGTCAAAACTGTATTTTTAGAAAAATCATGCAAACTACACATTTTTCATACTGTGCAACACCCCCTTGCATGTTTTATAAGTGCACCATTCCAGTTTATTTACACCTTGATGACTTGGCCAGTGGATTTAATATTAAGTCTTCATCTTGGTGCCTGTTGATGTATCAGTTTGCCTCCCTGCAGCAGACCCTCACCAGCCCACCCACAGAACGCTAACACAGGCCCCTCCCAGCAGTATCCCTACTCTGCTCTGGAAACAGCTTCGTCTGGCAGAAGTCACTCCCCCCCACCCCCCATTTTCTATTTAGTTTATTTTTTATTATAAAAATTTTTACTTGAATTACGATTTTAATGAAAGTTTATAGAAACATTAGATTTCTATTCATTCATTGTTGCACGTTTTCCCCCAGCTCAGGGCCCAGGCCCAGGTGCACAGGTTTCTGCAACCTGGATTCGTAGGGCCCTGCAGGCGGGTGAGGCTGCCACTCTGATGAGCACTGTCCCGCCTTCTGGCTCCTGTGGGCAGTTTGAATCTCCAGCCCTCATGGATGTCATGGGTGATTATGAGGCTGGACCCCAGGAGGATTGCCTCGAGTCTGCTGGACTCTGAGGTCAAGGGCAAGGCATGCCCACACCAACCACCAACCCTGTTCTTCACTTAGCTTCATTGAAGTGGCGATGAGAAACCTTGGAAGGAAGGGGCACATGCAGTGGTACAGTGGCCCCCACCTGGCATGGGACCAGCCCACTTTTGGCAGTGGTAGTTCAAGATACAGTCCTTTGCTCAGATCCACCTCCAGTGATCCAATGTGACTGGCTGTGACATACTTGGGTGAAGGTTGGTTACATTGTTTTCAGATCTGGTACAAAATCACCTAGAAAAAAATGCAGATTGTTTCTTTTGTGATTACTCTGGTACCACCAAACTTCATCCCTGCCTTCTCGACTATATCTTACACTTAACCACTAATAATGGTTTCCAACTCTTGAAGGAAGTGGAAATGACCTTCTGGAAACATCATGTGTGGTGAATGCATGGGCTTGCTGAACCAGAACTCTGAGACATCATTTCATCTCCCTGCCTGCTGTATAGATGGTGTGCTGTTTGGGACAATTAATGGTCAATCTCAGTACGGCAGTTTCTGCCAAAAATTAGAATTTAATTAAGAGCAGTATAGTGGTTCTGAG